ATAGTGAAACTTGTGGTACATTCCATTGATTATCGTGGGTATTACAGTTTTATAACCAATATTTTGATCAAATATTTGAACACATCCTTTCAACTTATTTGTTTATCGAAGATCATCTCATATTTTTGCGATATGATATACATGAGGTTGTAATTGAAAACTTCCCATCAAACCTCTCTACTCTACGTATTTGATTTCAAAAAGTAGTATTCAAAAATTATTTACTCAAAGATTGACGCTTACATTTGGCTTAGGCCACACCCACATTTTATGATGAAATGCCAAATTTAAATCTTCTGAGTATTTTTTCTCGAAATCCATAGTTCTTTGATTACCGTAACAAATGCTTTAAAGTACATGTGATATATTTATTTGTTACGTTAACTATAATTTATTGGTATTGTGCACAGAAATTTAATAGTCCTATCAAGAGCTCTGTCCCGTTAATTTTTGATGAGGATACAATCATTTAATTTTAGAAGTGGGAAATATCTCCGGTTGGTAGCTGGTCGGTTTGACGTGGGTGCTTTGTTCACTCATTCATTCGACCGCCGTGTTAATCGGTGGTTCAAGTCTCATGCTGAACGATCGATTTCTACTGGCTATTATCCAACTCGTGTTCGGAATCAAACGTTAAAAGGTAAAACCTCGTTAGTCCTTAGCTCGCACAAGTTTAGACCTCTAAGGGTTGTCGTTCGTAGGGGTGCGACAGCTGGTTAACGGAAAAACATATTTTAATTTTTTTAAAAACATATTAGGGTTACGATAATCATAGATGAACCAACAGAATTTACAATATAAATCTTCATTTACTAAGTTGATCATTTGTTTTCCATTCCTATCAGTTCGAGGAAATGGAAATATATTATTTTTAGGTATTTTATTTGTGAGTTTTTCTGTAGTGTCAAGTAGCCAACCAGAACGAAAGCGGCTGTGCAACTGTGCAACTGTACTGCCAATCAACTTTCAACAACAATATTAACCGTGGCTGTGCATTTAAAGAAGTTCCCGATCCGTGTTTTCGGGGATAACTAGAACTAAGTACAGCATAGCGGCATAATTTCCCCACCTTATATACCTGTTAATGTGTGCCGATATCATATCCCGTAGGAGACCTTTATTTACGAAAATCATTTTCTATGTTGAATCTTCCCATTGAATAGTATACAATCTGTGACACCTAGGACAGAGTTTACAAAACCGTAGCTCTTTCAAGTCTTCCCTGCCTTCCATGACTTACTATTTCTGTAATTTTTGTCATTATGGTTCACCATAAAAGATGTATTTCGTTGTCAAATATTGAGTTTCAATCGGTTGTAATTGATTCGTTGAATTTACAGATTTGTTCTTGGATTGGCACTTTAATAAAAATCTGTTGGCGCCCCTAACCATTATAATTACTGGTTCTCATTGAGAGCCCACCACTCTCACTTTATGAAAGCTAGCTGTGAGCAAGAACCCCTCTTTCCATAGCCAAAGATAGTGACTAACGTAGTATCGATTCGAAATTACGTAACATCTTGTAGGAATTTTCGAATTGTGAACTTGTTTCAAACTACTAAAATGAATATCCATGAGAAATTCAGCAGTATCAATCAGAATATCTAGCTTAAAATCATTCAAAATATTCTTACCTAGTCGATTGAAGAATAAATGATGTAAAGAACGCGAATCCTATATGTAATGTTCCATATAATTCAGCCCAAAATTTTGTGGTATGCGTTTCTGTCTTTTCAGCAATTGCTTCTGTAGCAACAATAGGGGGTCTGTCAGTTGTTCTCAAATAACTGAAAAGTAAAGATATATCGGTTTTTTGAGATAGAACAAGTTTAATTATCGAATGAGAATTGAACTTTTTGAGTGCGTTTCGAAATCGTGAGTTAGCACCAAGTTTCTTAGAAAATAACATTAATGAAATGAATAACTTGAAGTGTGTGTTTGAATCTGTTATTCACTTATATCGTAATGATTTCTACTAAACCAGTATTCAACTCCGCCAGTGTGAACTTTGTTTGGACTATTGCAGTTCTATTAATCCAATTGTGAGTGAGTCAATATTTTCAGTTTACACTTCTTACCGAAGAGACACTTATATATTATTAAGGTCATAGATGGTAAAAAAACTAGATACCTTTACTGTAGGTACTTTTTTGTTTATTGAACAGAACATGTGGAAACTGCAAAATCCAACTTTAATCATGTAGAGATTATATAAGAAAATGCATCTTTATTTCTCGAGAAAGTACCTATCTATAAAAATGCAAAATTAAAACAACGTTGTATAGAAAGTTAAAATATCTTTCAGTAGAAGTATAGATTCATTCTATTATCCGAAAAATATGAGGTTGCTCTAGAGGGAAAGGGGATGAAGTCAACTAGACTATGCCATAAGTTAGCTCCCTTGATATGAACTTAGACCTGTATCTCTGATTTGCGTATTGTAAACTATTTTCGTTGGGATATCCAGTATATTTTATAGTTTTTAGTTTCTCAATAGTTATCACTTTCGGAAAAATATAAAACGTAGGTGCGGATTGGAATGAACCTCAAACTGGCAGTTTGAGGAGTGCCAGATGATGACAGTACTACCAACTGTCGAAAGCGCTCGCAGATAATTAATAGAAGATATAAAGCTTCAATTTATGATATATACTGAAAGTGGTAGCAGCCTGATATGTGAATGTTTTTTCATAAAAAACAGTGAAATGTTTGAATTTGGTAGGGATGCTTACTGTTCTAAGGTATCTGTTATGAACTTGATGACGTGAAGTGAGCTTTTTCGCTAAATCTTCTGGTATTTTATTAAAGAATGATTTGAAAAGGGAATATACTTGACGTTACTCTAGTCTATTATGCCTTTCAAACCATCCGATGTCATTAATATGATAAATCACATTCTCCCTATATTTGATATCACAGATGTACCGAGTACACGCATTGTGGACTCTCTGTATTCTAGAACGAGCTAATAGATATTCAAGATATGGGCCATAAATAATATTACAATAGTTAAATATCGATGATATAAGTGATTCACATAATGTGATTTTGATTTTTTTATTAGGGTCATGCCTCTTAGAATATACCTAATTTTCTCAGTATTGCATCCTATAAGATTACTTACATGTTTTATAAATTTGAAATTGTGATCAATTATTGAACTCAAACATTTTATTGAATCACTATATATCACAATTTGTGATAAATCACGATTTGATCATCAATTGGTAAATATATATTGTCTATGGCCTTATGACGATCTTTATTACTCCCAAAGATTTTGACTGTTGATTTGGTAGGATTGATTTGATAGGATTGATTGAATGATCCTTGGATATTTCAATTGATTTTAAAAAAATCTTCATTCAAATAACTTTGTTGGTCCATAATATTCTCGATTTTATCACTGAGAAATAAGTTTGTATCATCTGTATATGTTTGTATTTGAAATTTTTTCAAGACATTTGAGAAATCTGAAATGTATATAGTGAAAAGAAGGGGAGTTAATACTGATACCTGGGGAGCGCCATGAGCTACCCCAAGTTCAGACGATTTTATGTCTTCCATGATGACGCGTTGAGTTCTATCATTTAGAAAATATTCAATAAATGATCATGGCATATTATCCATAAACCATGGATGGTCAATAATATTTGAGTTATACGTTTATCTAGATTATTTATAATGTCATCCGTCTTCCCAAAAGTGCAGTAGTAGTACTATGACCTGGCCTAAATCTTTGTTGATGTGGTGGTAGTATTTTGTTTTCATTCACATAATTATACATTTGTTCATGATCTGTTTTTTCGAGAATTTTTGAAATTGATGGTCGGATATCTAAAAATGTTTCTGTATTAGAAATTTCATTGATCGAAAAAATAAGGATAAATACCATTTGTTGTTCATTTATTCATCATGAAAGTAATTATTGGAATTGAGTAAGGTATACAAAGTTTGATCATTTTTATGGGGATTCCATCAGAACCAGTTGCATTCGATTTTGTTTATTATTGAGAAAGTTTGTTCGTGTGTTATTGATTTTATGAAATGATCATTATCTTTATCTGGAAGTTTTAGATGTTCTGGTATAGAAATATATTTTTTGATTTGAAAGGGTATTTATAGGAGTGATTAATTTTTTGGGAAAGAAAGTTTTTGGCTTTCTACTACTCCATCTGATACAAAAAAAATGGATGAGAGAATCTTCCAAAGAAAGGAAGGATTAATCAATTTGAAAATATATATATTTTTTGTTACTGACAATATCAAAAGATGGAGAGTATTCCTGTTTGGAATTAAGTTGATTAAGAATAAAGTTGAGATACCTTCCCTTTTTTTCCTCCTTATTGCTGTTATTACTATATTTCTCAAATTCTTGAAATTCTCCCAATCATTGCTTTTTTTTGTTCTTTTATATTTTGCCATTGCATTATTTTTATTCCGAATCATCATCCCTAAAGGATCTGTAAGACATAGTGCTTTTGGTTTACTAATTTTTAGCGTTTTGCGATTTCATTTATCATTCAATAAATAAAGGTCATACCAGGGCATTTTTACTAAGTCTACAGAAAACTCATTATAACCGAAATGTTTATAATCGCGACATGTCCTATAGAAGCATTTTTGTTTCTGCTTCTCACATATCAACTCCGTATAATATACCAAACAATGGTCAGAAATTTAATCAGCGTTTATTGTGCAAGTATTACCTATCACATCGACATTTCTTGTTGATATTATGTCAATGAGGGTACTACTGATGTTACTTATTCTCATTGGTTCGTTATTTAGCACAGTTAGGTTATAAGCAGCAAAAAAATTTTGAAGAACAGTAGTGTTTTTATTCGTAGTGTTAAGAAAATTAACATTTACGTCTCCAACTAACATAATATGGTCAACAAGATGTATTACCGCAGGAAGTAAATTTTCTAAAACATTAATACAATCAGAAACCCTTGTATTAGGGGGTCGGTATATACGATCTATTCCTATTCGAGAATTATTTACCACATAGAGGATGTTTCTTTTATCATGTGGTAACATTGCTATATTCTAAACCGTAACATATACGAAGACGATTGAATGAGAAAAAAAGGTAACTGTCATCGGAAACAATACAATGATCGAAGAACATTTACGGGGAATCTCGCCCTTCTTGAGTTATACGGCGAAAACTAAAAACGCTGTTTTTCGTTTTTTTTTGAATGGAATTGTTATTTCGGAGTATATCAAAAAATGGAAAAAAGTTATTGTATTCGAAGTGTACTAAGACGATGTAATGATAAATATTCGATTAAATGTTTCGGGTCAACATGGCCACCATCAACTTTTTTTTTTTTAATACGGACCTGTCTTTTTTATTACAGATATTGATAAAGTAATAAATTCACAATCCAAGGGTATATCACATTTGATATTTTTATAGCAATTTTCTAGCATAATAGGTGTAATACTAATATATGCATCTCTTATTTTTTGTTTGAGATGGTCGATATCTGTACTTGTTGATGAAAAAACTTTATCCTGTATGTATCTCCAGACAAAAAAATCTAAAGGAGTAAGATCTGGGGATCGAGCTTGCCAGTCAAGTGGTTCATTGTTTCCCATCCATTTTCTTGGGAATATTGCATCTGAATGTTCCCTTACTATTGCTACATTATGGGAAGGAGTGCCGTCCTGTTGAAAATATTGTATTTCATAGCGGATATTCAGTGGCAATTCATCTAAGTTGCCATCGAATTCGTTGAATAAAAAATGAAGATATATTTCACTATTCAAATGATCATCGTCAAAAAAGGGCCAAGGATGTTTGTTCCCACAATTCCCAACCAAACATTCATTCCGAACCTTTCTTGAAAAATGGTTTTCCTATGTGAATGTTCATTTCTATTATTCCACCTATAATGGATATTTCTGTTAAATCAACCACTGTTGGTGAATTTTGATTCGTCCTTCCATATTATTTTTTTACAAATATTTACAACTTTCCTATTTCTACGTCTTAACCACTTCGCAAATCGTACTCTCCTTCCGTAATCCCTTTCATTGAGGTAAAGAACTTTGCGTATCCTGTAACATTTATATTTGTTCTTTTTCAAAATAGTTCTGGTGGATTTTACAGAAATTCCCATTTCGTGGGCAATTTCTCGTGAAGAACAATCTTGATATGCATAATTTTTGTAACTGCCCAATCCCAAATGAAAAAAAAATGTTTTCACTGTGTAAATTTTCATGTGGTAATATTTGCTTACCCATAACATTTATTTGATTCCTTCCACTTCCAGTAACCGCATATTCTCTTGTTTACTTTCTGTCAAATGCACCATAGTCCCTCAAATTTCTTTCTCATCGTCTAAACATTTGGATGTTTGGAATACGACGATTCGGGTATAGCTCAACATAAATATTCCTTGCCAAAAGAGGATATCTGTTTGATTTTGCATAATTAAATAGCATATCAGTCCTTTCATCATTTGAATACATCTTTGATATATTCATAAACGTCTGACAGTTCTCAACATTGTATTGTTCCCGATAACAGTTACCATTTTTCCCATTTAATCGTCTTCGTATCTGTTACAGTTTAGAATATAGCAGTTATCACATGATGAAAGAAACGACCTGTATGTTCTAATTCAGTTTTATTAAAGTCAAATTCAATTTTTGTCAGTTCAATATTTGTTCTACCCATCAATATTAATGGAATAATCTAATATTTATCTGTCAAACATGTTTCGGTTACCATAATAATATCGAAATTATGCTTATTGACTAATTGTTTTAAAAGATAAAATCCGATAAACAGTGTTCTCACATTCATAGTGGCAATACTAAAGTACATAATGAAATTTCTAGTTAAAAAATGATTTGAATACATGAATTTAAAATACGAATAATCCCAAATGAAAATAAGAATCCGTTCAAGTGATATGAAGAGATTTCTCATCGTACTGTATAGCATTTTATATAGAAGTGTGAGTTAATAAATATTCATTGAAAAAATCATATCATCACTCATTTCACTATTGACTCCTACCTTGAATTGCCATGATCAAAATAATAAACGTCAACCCTTGTTGTCCCATTACTATCGGTGTAGGTACTTTTTCGGTGGATCTTTTTGTTGGTTTTAATTAATTTAGGATCGATTTCTTCGTCTATGCAAAACATCTCCTCTTTACTGAAATCTTGTTTCGTCGACAATAGTTCGTTTCTTAAATTTTTATCTTTTTTACTGAAGCCCTCATCGTTGTAAAAGTCAATTTTGTTGTCTATGCTTTCATTTGAAAACTGACACCGGCATTTGAAGTCGTTGGGTTTTGGAATATCATCGACCAAATCGAAAATCAAGCGCTGTGAATATTAAATACTTTGAATCGTTTTAAGCGGATTTATGAAAATAGGTACTTACCCTTGGATTACCCATGTTTGTTTGAGATTGCTTCATGTTCATTTTATAATATTCACATCTCTTGGACATCGAGTTGTTTCTTTTCTCCTTGAAATTCCTCAATAGATTTTGAATTAAATTTTTTTGTTTGATAGGTTTGTTTATCATAGTTTGACCTGAAATAGGAATAACAATGTATAACAATATACTTATCGGAATATTCTTTGGTCGATTTCAAACGACAGAGAGTATAAATTCTCGATTGTCTTCAAATATAGAGATCAAGATGCCAAGTAATAACTCACACAATTACGGAAAAACGGCCAGAGATATTCGCGAATGTCCAGGCGCTCGCCGAGTTTAACTTTGCAATGCCCCAGCCATGGGTTCAGTGGGAAAAAACGTTTTGAATGTTATACAGGGTGTTTCAAATTCAATACTCACCATTGGGATTTCGAAAACTATGAGACATACGAAGATGGTTAAATTGGGACAAAGTTGCGCATTTACCTGACTAACAATATGCCGTTTAGAAAGTTCTGAAATTCCGAGTATATCCGGACAAGTCATTGAATTTTTGGCGAAAAATGACTTTCACGAATGAAAGAAAAAGAGATATGATACCAATTTATTACAAACGATAGAAACAGTGTTAGGACATCGGAAATGTAATTAAACTTGTATCCCGAAAGACGACGACCACATCAAACTATGTTCTTACCAAACCAAACTCAACGAATTTGATTCGTTTGAAAAGCCAATAAAAATACGGAGATAGAAACAACAATCACAATTTGATAAATGAGGTGTGTATGAAGTAAATTAGACATTGTGCTTTTTTCAATGAAAATATAAATTTGAACAAAAAGCAATAATTAACTAAAATGTAAAGACAAGAGAAAATCACAGAAAATGTTAAAAATGTTGGACTTGTTCTTGATAACACAACTGTGCCCTTCTTCGAATATTATTCACTGCACGATTAATTTCCCTCCTCCTCACTCTTTCGAACTCTCTAACAATGCTGTGTTGAAGGTCCTCAATATTTTGATATTTCCTCTGACCATAAACTCTAGTTTTCAGTGTACCCCATAAGAATGTATCTATAACACTTAAGTGTGAAGACCTTGCTGGCCACCTCACCGGCTTCCTCACCCTCCCATTATTCCCTATCCATTTATTACCAAACCCGAAAGGTTTTGACTAATAAGATACTCGTCTGGTAGTGTGCATGTTGAAACCAGATGTTGTTATAGTTAGCCAAAGGTAGATCATCCAAATAGTCTTCGAAAATCGACATTAAAAACTGGTGATAGGTTTCTCCATTCAGAATTCTGTTGAATAAAGGAGAACCCAAAATTCTATCTTTGTGAATTCCTGCCCACACGTTAATACTAAATCGCACTTGAGGTCGAAATTCTCGGAACTGCTTGGGGCTGTTTATGCTCCAAATGTGTTCGTTATTCCGGTTGGATATCCCACAATTCGTAAAAGTGCTTTCATCTGTCCAAATTACATTTTCCAGGAAAACAGGAAAATCAGGTCTTCTTATTAGACTTTCAGGATCATCTGGATGCAATTTTTGAGATATGTGTATTTTGTAACATATTAAACCGCTTTTTTGAGATGTCTCCAAGCATTTGTATGACAAATATTTATATCGGAGAAAATTTGACGTGTAGATTTCTCCGGGTTCATGTTTATTTGAAAATTAATAATTTTTATTGAAAAGGACACAATGTCTAACTTACCCCATACATACCTCACTTATCAAATTTTCTTTAGTTTTCTGGTCCATTCTGTCTCCGTATTTTTTCCTCGGCTTTTCAAATGAACCAAACTTGGTGAGATTTTCATCCAAGAACGTGAACATAATTCGATGTGGTTGTCGTCTTTCGGGATAGAAGTTAAAATACATTTCCGATGTCCTGACACTGTTTCTATTGTATTTGTAATGAATTTGTATCATATCTGTTAGGGAGTGCGTTAGGATCAGAGCTCCGTACAGCCCTGGACATTATCTTGTTGGGAGTACTGGACGGGACAGCCCTGAATATCACCCGATAGGTTTACATAAGAGGATGATACATTCCTTTGTGTGTTGAAATATGTTTAAGTGGGGCAGGCTGAAATTGACATTGTTGTTGAATAGACTGATAAATGAATTTCACTAGTTCGGACTTCCATTGTCTACTATATAAAATGATTTGAAATCCCTGAAACAAGTAAAAAAGAATAATTAAAAAAGACTCTTCATAGACCCCTATTACAATACCTGTTAGAGAATGTTTGGTACTTGCAGCGGATTGCAGCGAGTTTAGTCCAAGTAAAATGATACGAGAGCTTGATTAGAAAACGGTTGAATGAGTCTGGAAGAAGGCGTAGGCCTGACTGACATGCAGTACGTTTTCAGGAAGGGGAGGATGATTAGACAAGTCGTCGAGTCGGTGGCAAAGAACAGAGAGTCTCACAAGAACCGGTTCTTGGCACCATGCTGTGGAACACACTGTATTCGGGATACAATTACCAGAACATGCTGAAGATTCCCAGGAAAAGTGGTGGGTAAGGATTTCTGATAGGACAAAAGTTACGCCGAAAAGGAGTATTCGTTATCTGGGATCAATAATCCATGAACGAGGGATTTTTGGGGTTCACGTGAGGGCGATGGTCAAAAAATCAGAAGCCAGAAGGGTTATGCTAATAAGACTGCTTCAAAACTTATCTTGTACGGACCTCCCATGCGGTACAAGGTAGTCGGAGTGGGTGGGAATAGAAGTATTCCGGAAAGTGCCCAGAGGAAAATTCTGCCAAGGACGACATGTGGGTACAATTCAGCATCAACCTGAGGACTGCAGGTAATAGCGGGTCAGATACCGGTCTACCTGTTTTTTTTAAGGAAACACGAGCAGTGCAAGAAAGAAGAGAACAAAGAAATATACAACTTTTATGGAGTGGCAGACGAAGTGGGTGGAAAAAATACAGTAGCCCAATGGACGAAAAAACTGATTAAATCAGTGAGGTCTTCGTACGGGCTGAGAAATAGGCATGTTGACTCGCATATAACACAGATTCAGACAGGACATACGTCAATCGGGCAGGACACTGGACGGATAGGAAAGTCTGACGACGATGGGTGCAAATACATGGTACCGTAGAACATACCCTCGCCGCTGATGAGACCTTGGCGGATAGAAACAGCGCTGTCTGACTGAAGGACGAGGTTTGGAAACTCATAAATTATAACTTAAAACTCTAAAAATCTTCGTGCTCGAATATTTATCAGATTTTTTTTTTCGGTGCCAACGGCATCGACTACTATGGTCATTAACCTCGTATGCTAGGTAGGCGCAGAATTATTTCAGTAGACAATTTTATGCAACTCACTTCTTACATTTGGGAAGCATCACACACTGCCATCGCTTAGAAAATAAGGCCCCAGAGTGGAAAAACAATTTTGAGAATTGCTCTGAACGCAAGAAAATTGTATCAATCTTGAAAAACATTAAAAACGAAATATAAAAAATCTCCAACAGGTTTTCAAGAGGGCACGTTTTTATAATTTTGAAAATCCTCTGAAATGATGTCTTATAGATATCCCAAGTTGGCAAATATTCATGGTTTAGTTTCGACGCAATCTATATTCATAACTTGATTTATGAACTTGGAATGATTTGAAATTTTTACAGAATAAGAATTGCCATTCAAAAAGTTGAGGAAGGATATGAGTGTGGGACTAGAAGCACGCGGGCGTATAAAATGTTTTTCTCTGAAAACTTGTTATGGGTCTCTGAAGTTTTTGATATTACCGTCCATTTCAGAATTATTCAATGTGAAAAATTTGCTTTGGAAAGCCCAACGAAACGATTATTCATGACCGACTTTTTTGTTTATAATAGTTTTCAATTCAATTCGCACCGTGAACTGTTTCATTACAGTATTGAGTTATCTACCAATCCTAACAAAGTAAAATAATGCGTAATGTTGAAATTGATTTTTAACGTGTTTTTGTAACAACAACGCATTTCTCTATAGTTATGTTCACGGGATTGACTCATGTTTTTGGACGATATTAAATAATAAACTCACATATTTGCATGAAATAATGATAAATGTACTAGAAGAAGATAGTATAACTCATGAAGTGAATCAATTACAGTGACACTTGACAAAAGTTTCAGAATATTTCTGTGTTTGTAACTTATTGGTCCTTCATATTTGCGATATTCATCTGTTTGATTCAGCTCTGATGGCGATATTTGCTTATCTCCATTTTAGCTTTGTCTAAATTTGAGTTTTGAAAACATGCTGGACAATTATCAGTAACGGTTTGGTTCTCACTCAAGCATTTTCTGGATATCATCCACGTTTATTCGCACAGGCACGTTCTGTTTGAACACTTACTTACACCTGAGAGCTATAAATGAAGAATTCATCTTCAAGTATTAGCCTTTCTACAAATTCACCCTTTCCGAAAGAAAACTATTCAAGTGTACACAGTGACAATGCCTCCAAGTTTCACTAGAGCGATGAGACTGACGCAATGGTAATGGTGGCTCTTCATAGACCCCTATTACAATACCTGTTAGAGAATGTTTGGTAGTTGCAGCGAGTTTAGTCCAAGTAAAATGATACGAGAGCTTGATTAGAAAACGGTTGAATGAGTCTGGAAGAAGGCGTAGGAGTGTGATTCCTAAGCCAATATCATTTCTCTCAACAGTGACTTGAAATATTTCAATTCACTCTAAAACTTCCTCTGGAATTATTTCCAGCTATTGTAGGAAATTCAACTGGATTCACCAAATCTCCGCACACGACTCCCTTTACCTCAATTCAACTAAACCGCGAATATTTATCAATCCTGAAACACCTCGCAAAACGGTGCCCTGAACTATCTTAGTATCTCCAGAATTCACTCAGAACTTCGTAGGAAGTTCAATCAACCTACTTCTGAGTTCGTACGCTCATGACTTTTACCTCAAGTAAGCTAGCCAAATAAATTGCGAATATTCGACCCAGTGTCTTGAAACACCTAGCACCTCAGTCCCTACAATAGATTCCTCAGCAACCTCCCCAAAGGGAACAACTGCCCCGGTTAAGAGCCCCCCAAACGACCCTGGGGTCCGCGCACACCCGACTTAATTCTCCCTAACAAAATTCCACCTTAACTCTGTTAGGGGATGTAATTCGAATAATCTCATAAAAATTCCCACCAATCAGAAAGTCTGAAATTGTTTCCAAGACTGGTACTCTTAACGTCCTCTACATGTCCAGTGAATAAGTCCGCAAGAATTCCCGACTGGTCTCCGATATTTCTAATGTCGTGAG